ATTCTATGAGGTATCTCTGGATGTGTCTATTTCTCTATGGATTACAAAGTCAGCCTAGGGTGAGTACTTCAGTCTTACAAATGAAGCTTTTAGTTGCCTGAGTTAGAACAGATGAATCCCCCTCCAAGTCTCTAACCTTAATGATAAAGTACCCTAATAGAGGGAGTCTTAGTTAAACCTGTTTCTCTTTGAATAAAAAGATGGTAATATTCACTTGGGGGAAAAAAAAAGAAAAAAAAAAAAAAAAAAGACAAGGGAAAGATTTCTTTACCAACTGATTAAGTCATATAAAGCTGGAGTGTCACCCCAGTACATGTTCTAATGCATATGTATATCAGGAAGAATAACACAAGGAGGAGACTGTGACAAAGGCTCACTTCACAATATGTAAGAGCCCAGCATGCTTAAGGCTGCGGGTGCCCATGAATCAAATCCAGTAAAGAAAGGATGATGTTCTAACCACTAAACTTATTCATAAAAGGTACTTTTTCCCCCTATTATGCATAGGTAGACTAGGCCCTAGAGGTGCAAGTGGTAAAAAAATCCTTAATTTTTTCCAACTCTGCTGATGTTAAGATTTGAGTGAGACATCAGCTGCCACTGCACTGTCAAGAATTTAAAGCTTTTGCCTGTGATCAGGGCACAAATTAAAGTATTTATCATTGAAAAATTTATGCTGCTAAGAGATTTCAGAGCTACAGACATTATGTTGTGCTTTTGAAAATACAGCATTGAAAGAGGAGTGAAACTGATGGACACCAAGAGCTCTAAGGACCACCTTGGTTTGTGGCATTTCAGCAAAAGACTCTATTATACAGGAACTGCAACCATAGGTTTAACCAAATGAGAAAGACAATATTTTTTTTTTCCTTTAGTCTTTCATGTTTAGTATGCAGAACTCTACCAAAGGGTGAAAATGCTCTGTCAATTCCTAACACAAACCTGAAAAATTATTTCTTCCAGTCACTGAGCAAACATTTTGTTCTTCTACAGCTTTTACACTGCAGTCAGTGCTCTGAGGTCTAAGGATCATGTTGCCTAACTGTTGTCCCCAGGCATCAAGGGCCTAGTCACAGCTTTTTAAACAGACATGCTCTGTAGTCAATGGAGAGAGAGGGAGTCCTGCAGAGAGTGATTCAACTAGCCAGCAAACTATTTCATCTCCGGATAGATGTCTAAGTTAGTTGGATAAATCACCCTCTGGAGGGGCTTATCTCATTCCACTAAACCACAGAGGCAGTTTAGATGATGAGCTGAGCTTACATGGCTCACAAGCCTTCCAGTGGCTTAAGGGTAGATGAGATGAAACCCACTCAGCCTGTCCAGCATCCATGCAGTCTCTGCAAAGACAAGTCTTCACATTGACTCCCTTTTTTGTTGATGTTGTCTGGGAGGATGTTTTATTTGTGGTTGTGAGGAAGATGGGGAATGGGATTACAATAGCTGGGGCTTTTTTTCCCCTAGAAAATGATAGTATATTACTGTTTTGATGAATTTTTTTCCCTCCATTTGATACATTTCATGCACAAGAGTAAACTTGATTTATTGAAAGTATATAAATGCTCAACTGTATCTTCTAATGTTAGATATCATAACCTTCTCGTCTTTCACCATGTACTTCCTCTGCTTCAGAGAGGCTACGCCTAGACGACTGAGTGCTAGAAACACTTCCAGTTTCTATAAAATCAGAAAGTAGATAATCTACTGAGACAATCACTTTCCTAGAGAAACCATGAAAAATCCAAGAGGCAGATACCATGCTAACAAATTCATAGTAAAAATGGATTAATGTCAAAACACAGACTTTGAGTATGCATGTCCACAATAATGAGATCTGGAAAAAAAAGATATAATTATGAATCTATGTCTAAACAGCTTTTCCACTTACTGTTACAGAAAACATAAAGTATACACATTGTAACCATCTGTAATGTCAGTATCAGCAGCTGCTCCCAGTTTACGATTTAGTGCTATTGTACATATTATTTGCTTTGGAAATTACTTGCAGTTTCTAGAACTATATCTTGACTGTTTGATTTTATTTTTTTTAAACGCACTCCAAAAATTAACAAAGCTATTAGTTAGTAGGAGTGACTCTGAACTAACAGCATTTTTGTAGTAGTGATTGCCTTTTTGCCATCTTCCACCAATGTTTATTTAATATGTTAAGTACATACAAGGGCTGTTTGAGTATGTGTATGTGTGTAAATTTACGTGCTGACATATGCTGACACAGTTTATTTTCCATATATTTGTGGAAATGGGTTGCTAATCACTTCTGTTATTCTGACTTCACATCATTTAGATACCTTATCCTCTTAGGATAATTTCCTAACTATGGAAAAGAGTGGTCTAAAAAGAATAAAAATACTGAAGAGAGGGGATGTAAAGCCTCTTTAGAAGATAATACATCAGGAAAGTTGAGGAGGGAGAAAGTATTACTCTGAAAAAAGGGTCCAGTGATTTCAATTGTAAACTTCCTCAAAGTTCAAAGAGACAGAATTTTTAGGTTTCTTTTAGATATCAGTCGTGTTCTCACACAGGGCTTCATGAGGGTGGGCCAGGCTAGCACAGAGGTTAGAAGTGGATTCTGCCCTGTTTCCTGGCTGTAATGAGCAAGGAAAACAGTTTGTATTAACTAAAAAGACGAAGACACTTCTTACTGGAATGGTACATTACTCATATAGTGTGTCATGGATAATGAAAGCTAATCTTGACACTGAAATTTAGTCATTTTATTCCATTCATGATTCATGTAACATTAGTCTCTTGTTGTCTGGCATAAAAATAACTGATGGAATGGATAAATATTCAGTTGTTTTCCTGGAACATATAAAGAATGTTCATCAGAAATATAATTCTGCACTGTGTCAGCCTTATACCTTTGTAACTCCATGGATTGTAGCTGCTCCAGTCTGTTAAATATCAGACCTTCACATTCTTTCAATTTGTAGTCAGCAAGAAATATTTTGCAAAAAGACGTAATAGATGAGAGAGCCTCAAAACGTTTGTTTCACTAAACTTTTAGTAAGTTCACAATTTAAATCACTGGAACCTCTGTATAGTGTAATAATTTCTTCCTTTCTGCTTTAGTTTCATAGAGTAACTTTCTTCTGGAAATTTGATCATCTACTTTCTTATACAGTGTTCTCCTCCCACCTCTTTTCTCTGTCTTTTGTCCCTGCTCTCTTTTTTTCTTTCTTTCCTGTATTTATTATCAGATTTTATTTTTATTTTTCACATTCCAAACCTTTTTATCTGTGTGTAGATTTGGGTCTTGGGCAAATTAAAGAAGTACTTGTAAATTATTTATCAGCTAATGCAACCGTTCATAGATGATCTCCCAGTACTTCATAGAAATGAAAATAGAAATAGAAACTTGGTGAGTCAATACTTGAAATCACCATTCTCAGAAAGCTATGAAGTTGTTATTCGTTTATTTATTTATTTTCTTTCCTAATGATCAAAGCTTCCAGAGTCAAAAAGATCCACTGACTTTCAGCTGTGCTCTGAAGATCCTTTGGCAGTTTTGGAAGTGTACTTTCTCATCTCCAGGCTTTCCAAAGCAATACAGTTCACAGAATAAATGTATCACAGAAATATTAAACCAAAACAGGAACAAGTATTAATTGTTGCTCTTCAAACAAAATAGAAAAAATAAGAGCAACAAATTTGTGGGGGCAGAGGGTGCAGAGGAGTTTATTTTCATCCTGAAGACAACTGGCATTTGCACTTCCTTTTGCCCTTCTCAGAATTTCAATAATTTAAGCCATCATTGCTTTTCAGGAGAAACCAAGGTGATTCTAACTGCCACTCCTGTAGGTCCTTTTCATGTATTATCCCCAACAGTAAGAAAGAAAGAAAGAAATGGAAAAAAAAAAAAAAAAAAAAACAAAAAATTCTGAAAGAAATATTTAGTTGGCAAGTTTGTTGGCAATTTGTATGGTCGAAAATATATTTCTTGGTTTTGATAAGTGGAAGGGTATTCTAAAGGTGACAAAAAACATAATTATTTTCTACTAGTTGTTAAATATTTTCTTGGGGTGTTCCTTCAAGTTCATTGTCTTCCCCCTTTCATGCTAGAAATCACTTCGTGGCAAACAAAAAAAGAAAGAAAAGGAAAAAAAAAAAAAAAAAAGACACAATAAATTCTGAAAGAAATATTTAGTTGGCAAGTTTGTTGGCAATTTGTATGGTCGAAAATATATTTCTTGGTTTTGATAAGTGGAAGGGTATTCTAAAGGTGACAAAAAACATAATTATTTTCTACTAGTTGTTAAATATGTAAAGAAAAGCTGAAATACCAGAAATATTGATGTTCAAATATCACCAGAGGAGAACAAAATAAGGTCAAAAGAAATAGGAAGTTCCTTTTATAGTTATGCATATTAACATGTTATGCCTCGCAATGCAGATACATCTGAAAAGTGCAAGTATCTGGCACTAGACTTAAAAGGCTCAGTAGTTCTCACTGTTCCTCCTCTGTCCCAGCCTTTCCATGACCTTCAGCAAGCCCTTCATGCTTCCTATCAGTAAAACAGAGACAATGATATTTAGAGAAGAAATCTGCAGCTGCAACACTTCAACTCCCCATCTCACCCTAAGAAGGATTCCCAGGCTGCGAGTGATTATAACTGTGGGAACACATTCCTGGTAATGACACCACTATGGTGAAAAAATTGGCTCATCTCCTGTCCTTAAAGTTCCTGTCCATGTCCTTTTTTGCAAGAGGTGTTAACAGCAGAGTACTAGCTATATTATGTCTCTGTTTATTGCTGTCCAAAATCCACTTGCAGCTGGATATAGGCTTTATTTCCTGCGTGGGCGTGGAGTGTGATACTGAGCTGTCATCAAGTTACTTTCGAGAGAGAGTGGCATCCGGATGATGTCTTGGCAGTTCTCAGTGTGTGTGTGTGTGTGTGTGTACACGTGTGCATGCACATGTGCAATTTGATTCCTTGCTCCTTTAGAGCTTATGTGGTCACTTCCTTTTGTGTAAAGCAACAGCAGAGCGGGGAAAAATTGCTTGGGTGATATTCTTTCTATAGGTGAAAACGCCCCTATGTAAAGCAAGGCCAAAGTACTAAGAAGTGTTTCATGGAGCCAGCCACTGTCCAAGGTAGGTATTTGAATAGTGTACTTCATGTAAGTGGTGTGGTTTTGCTTCCAGTACACTGGTTTTTTGAGCCTTTGCATTGCTACAAGCTTGCTGACTGCAAAACACTGCTGCCATTTGGTGTTCTGGCTGGAACTGGGGAGAAGACTAATTCCAGTCTATCTGCAAGAGACTTCACTGTTGTTTTTCTTTGTAGGTTTTATCAAAGCTAACCTAAAGCAAAAAATAAAGAGGCATGCTTATGTGGACAATCTCTATTACTCCATTTACTAAAATATTAAAATGTTCTAAAGAAATTAAAAACTTAAAAGTGTTAGCCTTTTAAATGTCTAATTTCCTAGCTGCTCCTCCAAGAGTTTTTACATCACACTTTGAAGTACTGTCTCCTATAAATGTTGCAAAGAATCAAGGAAAGAGTAAAACAAATGAGATAGATACGCATATAGTTTTGAAAATTAATGATGAAGAAAATACCAGTATTCTTGATGACTGAGCTAATTAACAGGGGATGAAATGAAAGATGACAAGATGGAAAAAGCTGTGTCAGAGACTTAGTGACACAGTATATTGCTTAGCCAAGCAAAACCCCTTTTCAATGGAACAGTAAACATTAGCATGCTTTTTTTTTAAAAAAAAAAATATTTCTGAAGCACAAGAATGTTCTCAGTAACTAATATGATAAATGTCATTTGCTTCAGTCTTCAAAAGTAAGTTTTTCAGGCAGCTGAAAGCATTAAGTACACTGATGCAGCACAAGAGCATGTTAATTTGTAAGAAAAATAAATAAATAAATAGCAGTGCTGTAACACTGACTTGTCATACAGGTTCCACGGCTGCTATACAATGGCTTCATTGAACTGAACTTGAACTGGTAACTTCTAGCAGAGAATGCTTACAATTTCAAAATTAAATATATTCATCTTTAATTTAAATTCTGTGTAACTGATTTTTGTGCCAAAAGTTCTTCTTCAGCCTTTTAACTCTACATCTTAAAACTTACCCTGGAAAATCCTCCATCTTTATCCTCCTCTGCAGGTCCCATTTAGCCACCAGTGACACCATTCAAATCCATTTTCTGCTGTTTGCACACATAAGGTGCTGAAGGTGGATCTTGCCAGGAGTAAATTAGTTGCTTGAAGCTCTTGTTCAAGTTAGAATTCCTGAAAGTTCCAAACTCTGCCAGGAGAAAAGCTTTCTTATTGCAAGAGCCCTAACCTTTAGCTTCAAAGCATGCCCAGAAAAAACACCCGAGCAGATTACATAGTAGGACAGACCTGGACATTGAGTGAGTGGTTACCAGACAATGCAGTATAGTTTTCTCTCTCCTCCAATAAGTAAAATTTATTTATATGTGATGGAGTATCTCCAAAATAAACTTTAGAGAGGCAGATTTGTACCAGAGTAGCCAACAGACCATGGTGAGGACAGCCACATATAAAATACGATCAAAAATTTCCTCCTTCAGCTTGCTCAACAGCCTGGTAATAGGGATGTTCTTGAAGGATGTAGAAAATTAATTCATATGAGTTCTCTGCATTCCCCTCTGCAGGGGATTTAAGTTTCTTACAGCACTGGTGGGTAACCTACCAAGCTACTAACTATTCCCTCTCTTCTCAGATTTTTCTTTATTTTGGCTTTTGTCTTTTCTCAAAGGAAAGAGAGGAAAAGGAATGCCCTGCCTTAACAGCAAACTTTGAACATGAACTTAATTCCAGCTTAATGTTCACCCTTCAGGAACTCAAGAGAAAGAAGTTATGTGTAATTTCAGAGATGCTTACTCATCTCTGGCTACTTTTACCAGATGACTCCCAGACCTTTCTCTGCACATCAGTAATAATTAGCTCAAATGGTGCCTTGTTAAGTTAGTTTCTAGAAATTTCTTCCTCAGACATCTAAATCTAAGCAACTAACCTAGAGTTAACTGAAGACTAAGCATGAATTATTGCAGTCACTAAACGTTTGATGATGTGACTCTTAAATCATGAGATCAAAAACCCCAAAACTCTCCACAAGAACACTCACCTAAACCCAAGAAAAGAGGGAAGAAGGACACCCCAGGGACTCACCTAAGGAGGATTCACCATGCAATGTGAGCATCTCTGGATGTTTTATTTAGGCAGTACAGAGGAAAACGCAGCTTCACTCCAAATCCTGCAGCAGGGCTAATGAACTCGGAGACATCAACTACTTGCTTGGCCCTATTTTTAACACTGCTGTAGGTAAAAGTATTTTCAGTCTAGGAGAACCTTTAGTAAATGCATGAGAAAAAGACCTCATTCTTTATCCCTTACAAATATGTAATTGCAGGGCAGGATATCATGCTTCTTTTCTTCTGTTCAGAAAGGAGGAGTTCGCTCTAGAAGGATATGTGATACAGTTGCACAGATAAGTACATCACTGTTTAAATAGTCAATTTTTTCTTTGCTGCTAAAGGCTCAGATGGGTGGATAGCTAGCCCACACAATAATAACACTGTAGTTGCGAGGTTCCTTGCAAGGCAAGTGGAGTTCTGACTTTATTGCACTGCATGAGTTCAGTATTCACTGGGAACAATATTAAACCAATTCTGCTTTTGAAAATCCAACCCAGTTAGTACATGCCAGACCAAAATAAATATTTTTAAATATGTTCTATTTGCATTAAGAAAAAAATGTATTAAGACAGGGCAAAACCAGCTTGCTTTTCAAAGCGTTATTCAAATACGTAACAGAAAACAAAAAGAAAACATAAATTTGAAATTTATAAGACACAAGCCATACTACAGCATCTATAGTGTGAAAAGAACACTTGCATATTGCTTCAGTGCAGTGTGCAGGAGAGATTCACTAGAAGATGTAAGGAAATGTACTACATGATACTGAAATTAACTTTTTCCCCTAATTGTTGGGTCTTATAGAAATGTACCAGCTGCTGAGGTTGGCAGACTTTTTAAATTCCAGGCTTGCAATTCAGAAATAATTCTGGGGGGGGGGGAATAATCGAGAGTATGACAGTCTGCCTACAAATATGTCACTATCTGTTTACTTCACTGTGTGTCAATGGGATTAGTTCCTTATTCAGGGAGAAGAAGCTGAATCAGCCGTTGTACATACCCTGCTGCTAGTCTGCCTCTGCAGCCTGGAAAGGACCCCTCCTGCTACCAAGAAAACCCAAATACTGTGCCCTTGACTTGGTAACAGAAAAAAAATAGGTTAGTAATAAATTAAAGGGGCTTCTATGGAGACAGCTGTTAGCTGTATGCATCAAGTTACCCATTTTCTGTGCAATAGTTTGTGTAGGTGTCAGAGGAATCTCAATAGTTCACCAATTACTGGAAAACTCTGGGAGTCAAATGTTTGACTGAATGATGGCTGGATGTTTTTAAGTCTGTTTTTCCCTCTGCAAACAGCTGATGCCTGCATTAAGCTAAGATCAAATGAAAAATGTATTCAGCATTTCAGAGATACCCAGAAGGAAAATAACAGTATCAGGAGCTAAGCTTTCTTATGCTTCTTTTGTATATGTCAACTTATATTATCCTCTGCGATGTATCATCCTTCCCAGTGTACTTAATCTTATAATGAAAGAGGACCATTAATATGGAAAGTCACGAGACTACTTCTTTCATATGCAAAATAAATTGCATGCAGCCACACCTCTGATATGAACTTTTGAACCTGGAAGCTGCAAAATTTGCTTTTTATACATTCCTGAGAGTTTTGATAGGGTCTACTACTGTTTTTTTCCTGACAAATGAAAAATATACCTGTTCGTAGCCTGAAACACCCACACTAAAGCTGTGATAACTGAATCACTGAAAGTATATACAACCCTTTCCTAAAAAAAAGGGAAAGAAACGTAGGTAAGCACTGAGCACCTCATGCAGACTCTGGGTAGTGTTACCAGCTCCAAGGGACTAATTCTTCTTTAGAAGCCAGTTAGTGATTTCCATGACAACATAGTGGGCTTCTGTTTTTTTGTTTTCATTTTTTGTTTTTGTTTTTTGTTATTATTTAAATTCTAAATTAGCTACTCTGATTATATTCAGAGGAAAAGCAGTTCCACTCTTCGTTCCACGATATTTCACCAGCAGCCAGGATGAGGCCACCTTTCTCGTAGCTGCTTTGTGACAGCCTTTTTAGCAAAACATATTTCACCCTGGTATAGACTAGCAACATTTTAAAGAAAAATCCAGAACAGTTATGAAATCCATTCCATAGGTGAAGACACCTTGAAGTAAACGTGCTAGGATGTGGCAACAAAATCTTTTTTGAAAATAAGATAAAAAAGACTAACTAGTAAAGTCTTCTATGAGGGAAGGGAAGGGAAGGGAAGGGAAGGGAAGGGAAGGGAAGGGAAAAATTAAAGGAAAAAAGATTCCAGAAGGACCCATAAATCACTTCCATCAGATCACTGAGAAGTGACACCCTGCATATAAATCTCCATCACTTAGCAAGCACGTCCTTGACTTACTACCTCCTACCTAGAAACTCAGTAGGGTCTGAAATGTCAGACCTGAGTATAGTTGACCCTCTTTTTGACAGCTAAGACAAGATTTGGTTCTTCTGAGTGCAAAGTTCCCCCCGCTATAGGAGAAGGGAGATATACAGCTGAAAAGAAATACTGGGCACTATATTTGAGGCTAAACTGAAATAAGTATCTTACCAAACCGAGGCAAAGTATGTTGTATTGATGATGAGTTTAACAATTTACAAATATATACTCAAAGAAGAGGACTCTCACTGGCTGTCTTAATATTTCCAGTATATGTGGTATCTTATATTAAGCCTAATGGTTTGCTACATAATTGCATCATTAGTAAACCAGTGTTCATGTTCAGTTTCAACTTTCTATTGGTTTAGAGAAAGGATTTCAAATTTGCATTTAAATGAAATTGAGCAAAGAGTGATAAAGGCTTCAATTAAAAGGCCACCTGTTTTTGTTAATTCATTTTTAATAGGAACAGTAAATATTTTCAGTTGATGCACTTTCTGCTGCAAGATTGGTACATTCTTCTCTTCTTTATTTCCAGTGTCAGACACCCCTCATTAGAAGAGTCTATCATTATCTCTGACTAAAGGAACCTGCCTCCAGCTTCATGAATCTGTTGGTTCAAGACAAAAAAGTAAAGTCAACCACATAGCTATTTAAAAAGTGTAAGCATAACAAACTAACATGTGATCAAAGTGTATTTTTCTAATAAATTCTTTTTAAAAATCAGTAAGTTCAGAAGACAAAATCAAAGTTGTGCACTCAAAAAAGGCACATTCTTTCTTCAGTTACACCCTTCTTGGAGCCTACAGACCTTACTTAGGCATGCTGGTACGAAACAAAAGTAATCTCCCATGTCACAATTATGTAATGTAATTAAAACTGGAGGATTACAAATATGTAAAACACAAATTATGACAAGCAGTTTTCATGGAGTATAAACCAAACCGGTGTTCACGGAGTATGAGTTTCAGCTGGCACCTGGAAACTTTACATCTTCCTATAAAATTTCTTCCTTTGATACTAAATCATTCACTTTTTTTGTCTTGCTTCATAGGTTTACAGCTCTTGTTTTGTCCAGCTGCCATTAACAACATAGCAGCTCATCTTGTTTTCCTAATACTTTTGAAATAATTTGTAGCCATAATTGCTTCTCTGTTTTCCATTTACTGTAACCATAACCACTAATTTGCTAACAACCGCTACACTTCTGTTACAACCAAAGCTTAAAAATCCAAGCAATTTCCTCAAGAACAATTTGCACTGAACACCCTTCTCTTTGGGGATGCAATGTAAGCATTTAAATAAAGAACTGAAGCATTTAATTAGGGTGTGCTTCCTTCCTGCTAGCAGGACATCACACTAGTGAGTAAATGGATTAAGTTTCTTGTAACGCAAGCCAGGAGACATCTTGACAGTTGCGTTTTACATTGTCAGATGTCTAGTTAAGGGAAACACGGGGGTCCAATCCCACCTTTAAAAACTTAATTTTTGACTTACATTGTTATTGTCTTTACCTGCTATGTGGTTTTCCACAACAAACTTAGCAAGGGATTATGTTTTTCATTTCTGGTTGAATGAAGAAGGGAATTAACAGAAAAATAAATAGAAGATATTCACAGGAAACTGCAGGTTAGGGGATTTACCCCCTATTTGTTATAAGTTAAACATTTACAAAAGAAAATAAATACTGCAGAACTCTCTCTCCTCACCTCTCTCCCCTCCCTCTCCCACCCCATATGTATTTCTGATTGACATACCCATATAATTTGTTGGTTTTATATTTGCTGGATGAAGGCATGTATCAGGAGTTTCAAATCATTGATTTTTATTTGGATCACATTCTGCTTCTTAACTGGTTGCTGCTGCAGTTGTTTTCTTTTAATGCTTAGAAAACCAAAATAAAAATAGCTCTTGAAGTTCAGCATGAGTACACGTTGCAAAGGTTTGGACCTAATGCTCTGCTATTAAATAAATATATTAATCTTTTTCTTTAAAGTTAGATGGCTAGAGAAACTGGAACAAAGCATATAAATAACTGATTTCAGCTCAGCTCAAAGGGTCAAAAGACTCTAACTGGTTACTATGCCTATGGAGAAACGACTGCTTAATGCTCTCCAACTCACTTCAAAGGACTCACTACTCTTTCACTCTCTTGGTAAAGCTGTGTATGAGTAATTATTGCTGTAGCTGTTACAGATTAAACTGAAATGGGAAAAGAGACTGCATGAAAATCAAGGTAAAGTAGTGGGAAATAGCAGCTTCTCATTCAATGGCCACCTGCAGCCCTTCGATATGAACATCTAAGGTGTTGATCAGATCACTGTAAAGGCCTCAGCATGCTCTGACATTGACTGAAATAGCAAGTGCTGAAGGATACATACTCATATAGTTCCTATCCGTTTGTGCCAGAGTTAAATACCTAAGTATATTTTCCAAATTTGGAAGGGTACATTACCTTTATTGGCATATTAAAGGGTCTAAGTTCTTTTGTCTCCAGCAAGGAACAAGATTCAATAAAAAGCTAGGTTTTCTGCAGCCTTTACCACTTACCTAAAGGAAAAAGTCTCTCCTATAAAAGCATAGTAGGGAATGTCACCAAGTGCAAAAGTTATTTTGGAAACCTTAACACAACAAAGTTACATTAAAGACAGAACAAGTCTGTTTTCGTGCAGAATTATTTAATTAATTAATTTAAAATTGCTTAAAATGAAAAGTGACTTCTGGCATTTTGAGTTTTCAGTAGAAACATACAAGTTTTACTGAAAACCTTTTTTTTTTCTTTTTTCCCAAAAAATGCTTTAAAAAACTGGATTGAGAAAAACCTCTATTGTTTCAAATTATATATACCTAATTTTCATCATTGCAAAAGGAGCGGTATTTTTCAGATCAACCCTCTTTTTTGAGGGAAGTAATTTATGACTATCAGATGAAATTTTTATAATATTTGGATAATTCCACAATATTCCTAGTGAACATAATGAACTGTTTCTCAGCAAAAAAAAAATGCTTCTGCTGAACAGAATTCACATACTTGTAATTGTGACATTTATTGGCCAGTAAAAGAAAATATCTAAACATCTCATTTTACCGGACTGTGAACATAGATCTAAAGGATAACCTAAAACTGACAGTTTGAAATCCTGCAGAAACTTTGCTTTCAAAGAAAAAAAAAGTTAAGTTCAGAGTCCATTTGTTTGATTTTTATTTTTTTTTTCGTTTATTGGGGGTTTTAATTTGCTTGGGTTTTTTTGCTGGTTGATTACTGAGTAGTCTTGCTGATGGGTTACTGAGGTTGGGTTGAGAGCACTTTCAGCACTGATTTCCTCTAATATTACAGTGGTGATCTGCAAACTCCTCTTGGATAATGCAATGAGGTAGGAATTTATCACAGTAGGTTGATGGCATCTGGAGAACAGTTAGCAGGAAGCAGTGATATGGCAGGTAAATCTACTGTTGGGTGGCTCCACCAACTGCCGTCTACCTCCTCCCATGGGCAAGATGAAGATAAATGTAGTAGGCTTGTCGCTGTCATTGGGTTGAGTTGTACTATTCCTTTCAGCTGCTCTGTCCTGCTCTAAATCAGTAAAGAAGTCATAAACCACACTTCATATTTAAACCACTCTTTAGACTTCTGTCCGTCTCAGGAGCAATACAAGTCAGAATTGCTAAATCAACCTATCCTTTCTACTTCTGAGGTCTTTTTGAATTATCCTTGTTATGCAGGAGGTTTAAAGCATCAGAGGGGTTGGTTTAACAGACCTTTACGAGTAGTGGAGGGCATGAGGTAGGACAGGAATTTTAAGATCCTTACAAGTAGCAGTTAATGATACCATCTTCTGCTAACTGTTGTCCCCTGGAAATATTACTTTTTCCTGCTGTGCTGTCGCAATTAAACCCATTCCATTGCACAGCTACCATTGAAACTCTTCAAACTGGACCAAAATCTGAGTGACATTATACCTTTGTCCATGCAGTGGGAATAACACCCCCCAAATGATTTACAGTTCAGCCTGGTACTGAAGTAATCAGAAAACTTTGCAAAAAACTCTTGCTGAGTTTTAATTAGGATTAACTAGTCAGAGGTCATCCTCTATTCTGGTTAATACCACTTGTACCACCTGAAAAATAAGTGGATTACAAGACTAAGTCTAGTTGCTGAATAGATTAAAAAACATATTAAACCTGTGGATGATATTATAACATAGTTAAAAATATATTAAGAAAGAGAAGCTTCACACACTGATTATTTTTTTTAATAGTGCTTAGCTCCTTTTTTCTTTAACAGTCCAATTACATTTATAATAAGTCTAAGACATATACACAGGATACTTCATACATCCAAGTGGGGTTTGATCAAAGAATCTCAGTCTCACTTCGTCATTGCGTTGCTTTCTCCAAAAGAAGAAAAACTAACTTTTTTACTTCAATAATATGGAAAATATGTAACACAAGTTCTAAAGTTCTGATAAACCTTCAGATGCCATTATGACAATAATAAAGATAGATGTCAGTTAAGCAAGCAATTTAACATTCATAGACCATTACAGGACACAGTGCACATTTTTAAAAAGTCACTGAATTTACATTTAAAAATCACTGGATGAAAATATAGGGAGAAGCGGTAAATCAAAACCATAAAGTGATATGCAATAAGAGTACATAACCACCTAAGCCAAGATATGGGAAGGGAAGCTGAACAAGAGATGGATGGCTTTGTATGTGCGTGTGAGACAGAATGTATATACACACATAAAATTATGTGGTTTTATATATATACATTACATATATATGAAAAAATATGTGACTGCAGAAATTTTATGCTCTCATAGTTCCATCACAGTTGTATGCATCATAGTCCAGAAAATGTCTAAGGGTTTGAAATTTAGAGTATCTTATAGATACAGTGTGGGGTTTACTCATTACTTATAAGTCATCAAATTTACACTGGAACAGGAATTAATTTATTATCATGATTAAGAGCATCATTGGGAAAATGTTTTCTTCCCGAGCTCAGTGAAAGCACAAAAATTTCAATGGAGAACTTTCCTACAGTAAGCACCATTTTATGTATTGCAAACAATCCATCTTTTCCCAGTTTCTACTCTGGCATAAGCATAGTACTGGTTGATACTTCTTGATATTTTTAATCAAATCTCCTTCTCCTCAACATTATGTGAAACACCTTATGCAGTGGAGAGGTTTCTCTGTGGACATCCCTGACACTAGAAGAGTTTGATCTTTGCCTAATATGGGGCGTCATGAAATATCTCTTCTGCTGCAGCATTCCTCATACTTGTCCCATGTAGAATCATGTTAATGATTTCTGAGCCTCACCAAATACTTTATTAATAAAACACACACATATTTAGTGTATTTTTCATCTAACATTTAATGGTTCATGAGGAAGTAAAACTATTTGATCCACATAAATTTTAATTTAAGTTAAATTACAAATTTTCCTTGCAAACAATAATTTCTTTAAATATTCTCCATTAAATTTAATTTTAAAATATAATTTTAAATATAAATAAACTGCAGAAAAATAATATGTAGAAATTATTTTGCATGTGAAGCTGAAAGATGAGAAAACTACATAGCCTCTGAAATAAATATATAGGTCTAGGCTTCAACACCTTTCATAGCATGTCATAGAAAAGAGAGAAAATGTCTTTCTTTTCAGACTTGAGAAAAAAACATATTAGTATAGTATATATTTTTTTACTCACATACTTATTATTGTTGTTATTACATGCATCATTATATTATTCTATACTTCCATTTACTGTTTTAAAAGATATTTTGCAGTTTTCCTGTATTCCAATTTTTTAAAAAAATCAATTCATGTACATATGAAATTAATTTTAGACTTAGACTTAAATGATCCATTAGTAAAAAAAATATCTATAATATGCCAAAATTGGTTTATTTAAAAGATTTTTTAAAAATCTGGTGAATTTGGCAGTGGGGAGATTTTAAGAATACTTAAAGACCTTCAAAAAGACAATTTCCTAATGTACCAAACCAACTTCATACAGAAAATGTATAATAATATATGGGGTAATTATCACTTTGGAGATGTGCCTCAACGTTTCAGCATATTGAACACTGATAAAGTGAAATATTTCTCATAGTTCTGAAATTGCTTTGGTAGATGAGGATAAAATAATTGAAAACTTCTTTTACACAGCTTTTAAAGCCAAATGAGAACTTGTCTGTAGTGTACTTTACTGCCTTATGCAATATACGAGGCAAGCAATTAACTTCAAGCAAATATTCATTTTCATTTCCTATTAACTCCGTAGTCAGAGGGATGTCCTCCAAAATTAATCTTAGGGGTATTGGTTGCAAATGATGATATGTTGTCAAAGTTCAAACCGTTTGATTGTAGTGTAATCTTTCTTTCTTCAGACACTCCTAATTCAGTTTCATTGATGTCTTGAAGATAATCAGGCCAATGGTGGATTATTCTCTTTTCAAGTGTGCATCACGGAACAATGATCACAAACTTTTTTGTATTTCTTCAGGATGTAGGGAAAAATGTGTTGTTTTCAGCAAAAAACTAACAATTTTTTTTTCAGACTAGAAAATGGTGGTATATTGTTTTCAATATATGAAGCTTTTGCTTCATCAAGATTCATCCTGTGGATTAATCTTGGAAAATGACAGCATTGGACTTTTTTGTCATGAAGTAAACTGTATGAAATGTTATAGACCAGTTCTGATGCTTCTGCATATTTTTTATTTCTCATTATTAATAACAAACAGAAGTTAAAGTATTTTCTTTCTAGAAGGTATGATAGAATTATTTTTGTATGGCATTTTCTTGACTGATTACCTAAATGGTCTGGAACATAGTATTCACCAAACTTTGCAATAAAATATAGTATCAGCATACCTAAAAATTTTTTTCTGTTTCTTACAGCTCCTAATGTACTTTTTCTAAAATAGGGGGTGTGTTTTGATATGTTTGGGTTTTTTTCTTAGTGGTGTTTTTTGGTTTTTTTGTGGGTTTTTTTTTTTTTTTTTTATGGTACTTCAATATGTATATAAAAATCTGAGAAACCGTATTTTAAAAAACACTCAGATATCCCTCTGCTCCAACATGTTTCTAATAAAGTCTGGCACATGTAATATCAAGCAATGCACATAAAAATGAATTCTGCTATTTAAGTATCATGGATACTGAGCTGATTAAAGCTCACCCAATTAAAGTGGGTGATAAGACACAAAAATTTTGATAAGATACATTGAAAAGAATTACATTTCTAAAGAAACATATTTTAAGCTCACAAAAATTCCTAAAACTTTAGTAGGAGAGGGAAAGCTTCAGGCTATCTAAAGCAGTTAGTCAGTAATATATTTACCTAAAATATGTAAATAAAAAATGTGGGTCTGCTTCTACATTCAGAAACTAGACACATATTGCTGCTTTTCTTTTTTGGTGTTTTTTTTTTTTTTTTTGCATGGTACTTCAATATGTATATAAAAATCTGAGAAACCGTATTTTAAAAAACACTCAGATATCCCTCTGCTCCAACATGTTTCTAATAAAGTCTGGCACATGTAATATCAAGCAATGCACATAAAAATGAATTCTGCTATTTAAGTATCATGGATACTGAGCTGATTAAAGCTCACCCAATTAAAGTGGGTGATAAGACACAAAAATTTTGATAAGATACATTGAAAAGAATTACATTTCTAAAGAAACATATTTTAAGCTCACAAAAATTCCTAAAACTTTAGTAGGAGAGGGAAAGCTTCAGGCTATCTAAAGCAGTTAGTCAGTAATATATTTACCTAAAATATGTAAATAAAAAATGTGGGTCTGCTTCTACATTCAGAAACTAGACACATATTGCTGCTTTTCCTTGGTTTCCCTGATTCTCTTTTACCTCTCTTAATCCTTTTGGTTTTCAAGCTTTTATCTTGATTATAATCAGTAATATGAAATTATTTGATCACCTAATGCTTTTTTACAGAAAACTCTTAGAAAAACAAGCAACACACTTCTTTTCCATTTAGTGTCACATACATAGCAACAAGACTCTAAGCTGCTTCCACTTAAACTTTACTCTATCCCTTACTAACTAGGAGTATTCACAGTAAATAGTGATTGCCTGGAGCCTAGTTAAATCTCTCTAAAATCTGTGAAAAAATCCCAGAACTGCAGGGCCTGAATTTTTAGCATGAAATCCACAGCACTCCTATCTTTCTTGGGAAGTTCCCAGCAAACAGAAATACTCAAGGCTTTGCAAAATTACCATGTTGTTGATTTACTCTTGAATTCTCTTGGTCTAATTGACAGTGATGGAGTAGAAGCTTTGTTGTCGATAACATATTGAAATATGTGCTTTCAATCTAATTAGGGCAGCTTACTGAAAACTGCAGATAGTGGGTTATATGTATTTCATATGAAAAAATAGAAATAAGCAATAAGGAGTAAAAGAAAACTTGAATGTGCTCATTCATCCGTCATGAGCTATCATAACAGAATTTTATAACTAAGTTAAATTAAAAACAGATAAAGAAAAAAAACACTTAAGAACAACAACAATTCAGAAAGACAATAAAACCTCTGTCAAATAAATACTCACATGCACTTGAGATTTTAGTGGCAAGTCAGGAAATACCAAGTGACCATCCTAGAGGACATCAGATAATGTAAATAATTTGATAATGAGGAAAACTTAAATTATATTTTACAAAAGTGCAAAACTCAGTTTCTTCCATTAAAAATGGTGAAAAATACAGAAATATGAAAGTCAATATTTCCAATACTAACCAATAGCTGTAGTAATAAGAAATTGTGTCTGAAGATTTGCAATTATCAGTAATTTCAGGAGTTTCAGTACACAAAAGAATGAAAATCTCATCTAAATTACTTTTCTGTTTGGAATTTAGATATTTGGAAAGGAACATAATCTCTTCAAAATTACTAAGAGGAGTATAACTGGGATGATGTCTGGCAAAAGAAGTAGCATCCTGTGTTAAGCTTCCACAGTGGTGCTGGGGCAAAAACCAAGTATCTCAGGAAAGAAGTCCATAGAATTAGCAAGCTGAGTGAGGTACAGCCTAGAGGACTAGGGAAGGTGTGAGGACCTCTCTGAAATGCTCCAGACAGGTGTTTCTTGAAACACTTTTGTCTTCAGAGCTTGCTGAGGACCGTTAAAATTATTTTTACTCCATCTCATATTAACAACTCTGAATCCTTCCTCAAAACCTGGTGTTTAACTTGTTTTTTTAGGTTCAGAGAAGTAGGTTTTAAATGTGAAGTGAAAGGAGAAATTTGAAGACAAGCTTCCTCCTCCATGAGTATTCCAAGAGTAGGGAAATTGCATCAGGAAATTAAAAGTTTGCTGTCACTGCTTTTTGAATGAATCCTGCTCCAAGAGCTGTATTTTAAGATTAATTCCTGGAACAAGTTCCAGGATGGGGAACTTAGGTGTGGAATGTGTGGTTTTTGGGTCTCAGTCAAGGCTGGACTTAAAGTAAGGTCCAAATTGTCAGTACTATCCAAATGTTTCTGAGTATATAGAGGAACTCCCAGGTGTCCAGAGAGCTCTCATTCTAAAGTTGTGAGTCAGGTTTTGATATTAAGTCCAATCGGAAGCCTATAGCTAGTGGTGGTCCCCAGGGGTCAGTACTGTGTCCAGTCTTGCTCAATATATTCATCTATGACCTAGATGAGGGCACAGAGTATACCCTTGGCAAGTTTGCTGATGATACATAACTGTTTTCCTTGGCTTGTTTTTTTTTTAGGGATGAGTCTTGTGTTTGCTGTGCCATACTCTGCATTCTCCTTCTTTTCTTTATATCCATGACAATTCATCTGGGACTGTTCCTGTTCCCTTTAGGTATACGTTCCTCTTTTTCTTACTGTTTTCATTGCCTTTTTATGCTTAATTGACTCTTTTTCTTTTCTGTATTTATCATTCCTTCTCCTTCATGCAGACAAATCCTGTGATATTTGTACAACAATTGACACTGAATGATATATAATACTGTCAAACTTCACTTGAAATTCAAGATAGAATACTTCTGAGATGAGCTCTACTCATACAAGTTCGATGTTACTGATGGCAGAAAACATGCAGGACCCCAGCAGAAAGATTCTTGCAGAAACATGAGATAGATACTCAACACCAAGGAACACAGATGAATCCAATGTGTATTTCTCCAACTGGCTTTATTAGGTATAGACACATAATTATATGTCTAACTGAGCAGAAGCCTTAGCAAACAAGCAGATAGTTACATAATTGTTAACGTTATAGCATTCCACTCATCTGTAAGTAGAAAACAGTTTTGTAATATTTGTTGGAATATTTTCTTCTATTTTAAAAATAATATTGATTTTCTAAGGATAAGCATATGTTATTAGAGTTTAAATATTCCTGGGAGTGTCTTCTTTCATAATTAACCACTTCTCATAACTTTATATGTTTTCTTTAAAATAATTTCAAATGAACCATATACATTGAGTTCCGACTGAAATGTATGTAATATTTTCACATGAAAAATTAGATCCCCATACAGAGATTCTTCTGCTTCAGCTTGTGTATGGAATTTATAACGGCTTCTTTCTGTCAAGCTTTTTCCCAATAATGTGTATTAAAATGATTATATAAAAATAAATTGCATTACACAGTATTGTAATGTTTTCCAAGATGACATTACATTAGTCTAACACAGGTCAATTTTCTCTGGTCGTCTAATAGCATGGATAATACTTTGGTTTGTGGGTGTTTTTGTTCTTGTTATTTCTGATTTTCCCTTTTTTCCTGGAAGAAATGTGCAACATTTCCCGGCACACATAAATAAGATCTGTTTTTACATTGTACTGTGGGCACTGTGTCTAGGTTTACTTCAGCCAGCTAAATCTAATAAACATCTACTGGGATAGTAATTTTTAAGTTCAAGTTCAATATCAAACATGTCAGCAGTGCACTTAGCAAGAAGCAGGGCAGCAGTTTGAAGAAAATGCAGATCCAGTCACCAGTAATTTTTATCAAATTATAAACCCTTGTTAGAGTGCTGGGATTTCATCAGCCAGCAGTGCTTAAATAAAAGCAATCCTCCTGCAGGAGGTGATTGTTTTGCTTAGGCATAGGTAGATTAAATATCAATTCATTTACATACTTTTGACACATGTTCTGCCACTCACATCTTCATTATCCACATTTGTGAAATTAATAGTAGATTTTGCAAGGTGTTATGAGGAAGTTTCATGCTGAACAGAAATGGACTGGCATTTGTATTTATTATCTTATACCTACTGATGTCATTTTTCTTTCAGGTAATTTTTTCTCTTTGTAAAATAATTGCTGAGAACCTAAAAAATGTAATTGTCATATTTAGAAGTGTGAAATATTGTGGTAAATGGTACATAATTATTTTAGCAGGATTAGGTATACAGTATGATACTGAAGGTCTGTGTATATTTAGCAGATAGAATGTACTCAATACATTTTTCAAACAGAAATTATTTCTGGGCTATGATTACAATGAGACATAGAGGTTGCCTCATTTCAGGATGTTAAATCCAAAATGTAAGGTATCAAAATTTTTTTCCAGTGGCTGCAGACGAATTCTGAAGTTACCTTTTTCCACTAGATATCCACCAAGTTCTGAGACAGGTAAACTGTTTGATACCTAAATCCAATGGGATTCTTAAAGTAGGTATTCCACCCAACTTGCTCTTGATTGAGAAAGTGTTTTCAGCAGTCACTTTATGACCTGCATCTTCCAGCTGGAGAACCTTTCAGATGAGGAGAGGCTGAGTGAGCTGGAACTGCTCATCCTGGAGAAGGGAAGGCTCAGGGGATTCTTAGCATGTGATGGGAGGAAATGAAGATGAAGGACCCAGGCTCATCTCATCAATGCCAGTTAACGAGACAAGAGGCAATGGGAACTAATTAAAACCCAGGAAATTCCATCCAAACACAAGAAAACACTTTTTTACTTTGAGGGAGGTCAAAGACTGGCACAGGTTTTTCAGAGAGGTTGTCTCCATCCTTGAGGATTTTAAAAACTCAATGGGCTTTTGATTGAGCAGGATAATTGAGTTACATGATTTCAAGAGGTCCCTTCCTGCCTCAACTGTTCTGTGATTCTGTGATTCCATAACACACACCAGGAGATAGCATTTCCAGTTCCCTCTGTCCAACTTGAATGTGGGAGGCCTGTGTGCAAATACTCACATCTGGCTTGCCCGGAGTTCTGGACTTGCAAGAGCCAGTTCTGATACTTCTCCTATAGTACATATTAATGTTTTGGTTACAGCATACTGCAGACTGCATTTTCTAATTTTTCATTTATTTATTCTTCCCCCTGAAGCTCTTCTCTCTGTTTCAGGGACTGTAATCTGCATATCTAAAGCAATGGGAAAAATAAAGGTTATCATTAACCTACTCATTTTAGCTGTAATCCCAAAGGACAAAAATGTTTAGTGGAATTAAGAAAATAATCTTAAATCCTGTATATCTTCTCAAAATTTCCTCTTGAATTGCCTAATTTCCCATTGACGATATCAATATAGAATCATGTAAAAAAGATCTGCAATGTTAGCTAAACAATGGCAAATAAAGTATCTACAGTGGCAGTATCTACTCCACTGTCACTTTATACTTTCATAGTCTTCTTGCACTAGAGTCAAGATATGGCTCAGCACTGAGACTTTAAATTGCCTGTGAAAGATATTTGCTTTCACTACTCCAGTGAATTAATTTAATATGACTTAGCTATTGGGAATCAATTACCTCATTAAGTATGAGACATTTTGTCCTGCAGTCGTTGCATCGTAGAAGCGACAGTTCAGCTTAGTCTCTTTTCTTACTTGTAGTCTTGATGGTGCTGGAGACAGTGACATAGGTCATAATTTCCTTAGGTAACATGAATAATCTCTGATTTGCTAACTCTGTATAACTCTTATTAATTTATTGTCATTTGCTCCATACACCTGCCTAAACTAAGTGATCTTTTTACAGAAACAGAATATGGGTATGCCTATGCACTCAAGAAAATGGAATGTAAAGGAAAAAATAATTTCAAAAAAATAAAATCACAAATTCAGAAAAGTTGAAGTGTGAAAGGACATCTGGAGTTAATCTAGTCCCAACATTCTGTGCTCAAGCCGGAAAAAGCTAGTGTAGGTTGCCCAAGACCCTGTCTAGTTGGGTTTTGAACACCTCCAAGGACAGGAACTCCACAGCTTCCCTGGACAGCCTGTTACAGTGTTTGAACATGCTAAAAATTCTGTTTTCTTTAAGCAAATTAACAGTTATTTTATATAACTTTGTACTGCTAATTCTGTTTCCACTTACAGCGATACGCAGCTACTAAGTCTTCCCTACAACTTGACTTGAAATAAAATTTCATCACTGTCTAATAATGCTATTCTGCAAAGTCCTGAACAAAATGGAGGACCAAGCTTGGTCCTGCATGGTCCTGAAGCCATGTCCGCATTCTTACAAAATGAATTATATCTTCTGTCTCAAATCAAGTTTAATAAAGTGATCATGAAGTTCTGAGGTGTCCTCTGCACTACCCTTAAAACTTGCAGGTGACTTCCAGACACGTCATCCTTCTGATAAGAACTTGAGGACTTGTAAATCTATGTAACTTCTGATGAGTTGATATCATTTTTTCATATCTTTTTCTTTCTTCTCAGGAACTCCTGCGGCTGAGCTGTGGGTAAACTGCATTGATTGCAACTTCTGTAATCCGACTTGGTCCACCCCTGTCATCTTGATAAGTCAAACTCCTTTTGCCACTTCTTTTGTTGATGTTACGAGCCTGGTTTTTTAAAGTTGTGGGGGAAAAAAAAGGTACTATTTTTCAGCCTGTGAATGACAGATTTTTCACAGGGATTTGCCTTTAACTTCTTTCATGCTCTCCTGAAATTAATTTTTCTCAGTCTGATGTTTCTAAATTGCCTCTCTTCTAGTTCTTACATTGTGCTTCTCTTTTGCTGATGTGCTGAAGTGCACAATTTGAACTTTTTTGTTTTGGTTTTGTTTTTCAAAACTTCAAGGAAAAGAATAATCTCCTCTAGTTGTCGAAGTTTACATCAGGAGGAAGCAAACTGTACCCTAGGTCTGCTCCATTCATTATAACCTTGGCATTTTGAATATTAAAACCAAGATAAGTAAATTGACCATAGTATTTTTGACATAACATTAACGTAAGAGTGAAGAAGGTTATTCCTCAGGTTTGTTCTACAGATTTATGTTTCAGGAATTTGCAATGGGTTCATGTTGATTTTACCCGAAAGTCTCCACAGAAATCTTTTTTAAGAATTTAAACTTACATATTCCTGACACACTGCATCCCTTCCAAGTTTGTTTGGTGATGCAGGAAATTTTTCAAATTTCTCTAGTGTAAGTTTCTTCACTTCACAGTATTTTTTTTCTTCCCTTTCTGTTCTGTTCATGAACAGAAGAAGATTGAATTAGTCTTATCAGCTGAAACAATATGATCTTTATGATTTCTGAAATTTAAGCCAAGGGAGTAGAAATGTAATGGTGTCTACTTGTCAAGATAGATGGAAATGTGAAATTCAAACAAGGGATCATTGAGGAATGCTATTTTTATTACAAGATATTTATTTAACTATACAATATTTTCTTCCTTCTGAGGTACCATTAGATATATAATATAAAGTAAGAAAAAAAATGTTTATTATATCAATCTTCTTTTATAATAAATTTATCAAGTAGAAAGTGCATTATGAAAGCTGAGAATAAGTATAAATAATAAATCTAAAGTTCTAGAGTTTAGATCACATAGACCATTAGTAGAAAGGTGAAGACCACCTGGAAAAGAAATGGGAAAATACCTTTATACAGTTCCATGAAATATTTTGGAAGTAAATAAATAGATAGTAGTCTGCTAGGATTTATTTTTGGAACAGGAAGCAGTGAAAAGTTTTTGCGGGTTTTGTCAGAGCAAAAATGTTATCTTTCCTGGTCCAGAATTTTCTTCACATGACCACTGTGAGATGTAGATTTAAATACGAACACAGACTGAAACCACTTGTGGCAAAAAAAAAAAAATAAAAATCAGTATTTTCAATTGATTTGAAAGATTTTTTATGTTTACAGTTAAATGTGTGCCTATGTGCTGAGCTGGACTAGGTAAGGAAAAAAGTCCTTGTAAAATACATGATAAAACAATGCTTTCTCAGCATTATCTATTGAACAATATGTTACATGAAATTTTTCCAACAGTGCATTCTGGATCCCTGTTGCAGAAAGTAATGAGGAGGAACTAAACTGACAAACTTCCCTAACCAGCTGCACCTCACAGTCCAATTATGTAGTTATTCATTTTACAGATGAAATTTGGCTTTGATGAAAATCAGAGCATTGAAGCTGAAAATTAACATTTTGGTTTGTTTTTTTTTTTTTATAATTTTGTTTCTTTTCATTAAATTAGCACACATACAAAGGCACCCATCAGTAGCCCTGGGCACCCTGAGAGATGTTGCAATAGAAGTCAAAAAGAGGGTAACAAATATCAAACAAGATAATACAACTGCTGTACAATAGACTAACAAATAGTTATAAAAACATAAATGTCTCTAAACTGTCATGTCCTTACTAAGTACAATAACCAACAGACTGACGTTGCAGTATATCTTGAATGTCAGCAGACCTATGCTATTTCAAATCAAATAGGCTACCTATTTTCCAAGCTGAGGGACTCACTTCAAAAGTACTTTAAATACTTCAGTTCTTTTAAAACAAGTTTATAGTATTTTAACTGGATTTTTTAGCTTCAGTTATTTAAATAATGTAATCAGGCAATGTTGCAAGGTAGGACGTCCTATGTCATTTGAAACTTCACGGGTAAAGCCATGTTGCTAATAATGTACCCTTCACTGGATAAAAAACTGGCTGGCTGGGTTTTGGGGGGTTTTTTTGTTTGGTTTTTTTTTGTGTTTAAGGTTGGACTTGGTGATCTCAGAGGTCCCTTCCAACCATGGTGATTCTGTGATTCTGTATTTAGAAAGAATTAATCTTACTTGGTTTTAGATATTTAGGGATAAACTTCTAAGCCTAATTTCTTCATATTCATATGGAAAGAAGCAGGCAGCTTTAGAAGGCATTGAATTAGAAGTTGCAATATTTGAGGATGGGGTTCATTTATAACCTCAAGCATCTAGCAAAAGTTGCTCTCCTAGATATATTTTGCAACCAATGGAGAAGGAGCAAGTGACCTCCAGAGGATCATTCACATTTAACAAGCTAGAAATTTGTTTTAGAATAAGTTAAATTGCCCTCAGACACTGCCTTTTTATTCCACAGAATGTGAAGCATCTATGTTCTGCATTATTGAACTGTTTCCCCATGTAGGAGGAAACAATCATCTAACTTTAGGGTGACAGAAGCATTGATAACTTAATGGATGAAACAGAAACATCAGAGACTGTTAGAGGCAGATTTCAAAAAGGTTCCTCACTCTGTTGAAGAAAACTGTCATTTGAGTGCAAACACATTTTTACAGAATTTTTCCTGCTATTATTCACTAAAACCACAGTTATTACACTGCCTGCTCAGCATCCCATAGGTTGTTTAATTTGCAAGGAAACTCTATATGGATTAAAATGTAGGAGAAGGAAGAGAACTATTCATTTCATCTTTTTATTTCATTCTATTTTTGCAAGCACATCAAATTACTCATTTCAGATCTTTATGCTTCTACAGTAAGTATCTGCACATTATCAGGGAAAAAAAAGGGAAAACAGACATAAGAGACCTTTAGACAAAAAAAAAAAAAAAAGAAAAGAAAAGAAAAAGATATAGAGAAAAAAGCACTTCTAGGTGATAAAAATTGAGTAATTTCATTCTCTCATACCATTTTTAGTTTAGCACACTAAATAAACATTTTTTTCTTTCCTTATATGATGTTAGTATCTCTCTCTGCCTTGGATATATCCTACACTGCCATAAATTTTTATTTCTCATACTTGTGCTAAATTTTACTCTTGTCAAGCCTTGGGACAAATCCATTCAATTGCACTGTTAAAAGTTCACAAATAAACTATGTTATCCATATGATTCCAAGCTCTTAGCTTTTGGATGAGAACTTGTCCTGTATAGAACTACATGAGGGCATCAACTTTGATGTCTGTGAGGCTAGAACATTCACTGAGCTTTGTCTGAAGACTACAAGGGCAAGTTCTGAAAAGAAACCTGTAAGATCACAAACTTCTCATTTTGATTAAAAACATGTAATTTCAAACAATCTGATGCATGCTTGCTTCCTATAAGAACTATGGGGAAAGTAGGGTAGGAAACAAGCCTAAACTTCAGACTTCTCCATCAAGGATACATAAATGAATCCAGTTCATTTCAAAGAAGTTGCACTTCTCACCCTTACTTGATTTAAAGTAAGAAAAATTAATGTAAACATTGAATTAAGAAAAAGGCATTTTTAATAAACTTGAATAGATTGAAGCTTGTGAATTAAATATAATCATTGATTAAAAATATAAAATAGGTCAGGAAAAATAATTAACCAGAGAAGTTAAGCTGATGCTTAATATTTTTCCTTCACAAGATGAGGTTTTCTTTTAATAAAATATATGTTCTTAGATATGCTTTACAAACAACAATAAGCAATCCTGATTTTATTGTTTTATGCAGCACACAAGGGATACTATAATATACTGATTATACTATCATATATGGAATGATATATTGAATGATGTATTTTATCTAAATCTAGGATTTTTTAAAATTACGCTGTAATTCATGACATCAGAATCCCAAATTAATATTTGTCTCTATCTCTGTGGTAGGCCATATTAACTACTTAAATTAAAATTATTTCAGTCTTTGGTGCGTTAAGAAGCAGAAATGCAGGTTTGAATGTTAGTGTTTATTCCCCTATCTAAGCTGGCCTTATCCTGCAAACCCTGTGATTGAATTGCTCTCCATGAAGCCAATGAAGTTGTTAAAAAGTTGTTAGTGCTGATAAGGGACAGGGTCAGAATCAGGCCCCTGAGCGCTCCACTGCTGTTGGTGTGCAGCTGAACCTCTTATTTAATCTCTTACTGAAACCTGGATGGACTTGTACTGCATAGCATCTACTACCATGTGCATATATAGATGGTGGCTTATGACATGCAAAGAGAAAATATCCACATCCAGAGTAGATGATAGAAAGGAATAAAGAAAATGTAACCTCTTTGCAGCTTCATGTCCCAGTCATCAAGATACTAGGGCTATTACGCTATAAAGTGGCACAGATCTTTATATACAACACTTAGAGTAGTGTTACTTTAATTTTACATTCTGAATACTATTTATGCTTTAGATATTTCCTGGGCTTTGTATATAACATTTGTTATTTCAATACAAAACCAAACCATAGGTCTTTATATCAAGGTCCTAAGGCAAAGCTTACATAATGTGATTGCTAATTGCTGTGAAGGCAAATAAAATTCCTCAGTCAAATGCCACTTTAGATGTCCAAATCTGGAATTCTAATCTTCATAAGTCCTCACAACATCTATATCAAGCTATAATTTACATTATAGATGATAGTCAAATGTATGAAAATGGCCATCTTGTGCTATTTTAGCTGTTTGTGCATCTGTACTTCTATATGGGGCCAGAAAACACAATATGGAACCTGCAGAAAATAGATACCTTTCAAGAGGGGCAGCTAAAGGCCAGCTACAGTACCCTAAGACATCTAAAACTACCCAACTGTTTTTAGGTAGTTGAATTTCCCATTGTAGGATAATTATGAAGGCTATCAAAGTCAAGGAACAGTAACTGCCACAATATCAACCAATATTGCAATGATGTCACAAGAGAGACCTACCTCACATTAGAGTCTTCCTGAATTTTGCTTCACTACCCTACAAAGGGTATTCTTCCTAGAATATTCTTCCTAGTTAACCCTATTCTTCCTAGTTAAGCAAAGTTAGACTTTATACTCTTAGTTTTTGTAGTCAAAAAATAGCAGACCCAAGGAACACAGGTTTAATATACAGTCAAAGACACAAAAAATACATGAGCTAATACAAACTTACTCTTCCTTTCAAAAACAGGGAATTAGGGTATTAATGTTCTGACTGCAAAACACATTGCTTAATATTGTTCTGCAATGTTTATTGACTTTTCAAAGACACATACTATTAAAACACCATTCCTTTACTGCCAAGATTAAGTTTATCCTACACTAATGTTTTAGTGTGATCATTTAAACGTTTTGCAAGTTTGAGGTTTACATTTTAATTTATTCTAGTTAGGTTTGTGACAAAGCAACTAAATCTT